CCATACTCTCTCCCTCCAATCTGATATCCAATCTTTCATCACCTAATCTTTTTGTTATCCTCATAACCTTACTCTTTCCTGTATTCACTTTCAATTTTCTTCTTTTGCACACCCTACCAAATTCATCCACCAATCTCTGCAACTTCTCTTCAGAATCTCCCAAGAGCACAGTGTCATCAGCAAAGAGCAACTGTGACAACTCCCACTTTGTGTGATTTTTTATATTTTAACTCCACGCCTCTTGCCAAGACCCTCGCATTTACTTCTCTTACAACCCCATCTATAAATATATTAAACAACCACGGTGACATCACACATCCCTGTCTAAGGCCTACTTTTACTGGGAAATAATTTCCCTCTTTCCTACATACTCTAACTTGAGCCTCACTATCCTCGTAAAAACTCTTCACTGCTTTCAGTAACCTACCTCCTACACCATACACTTGCAACATCTGCCACATTGCCCCCGTATCCACCCTGTCATACGCCTTTTCCAAATCCATAAATGCCTCAAAGACCTCTTTAGCCTTATCTAAATACTGTTCACTTATATGTTTCACTGTAAACACCTGGTCCACACACCCCCTACCTTTCCTAAAGCCTCCTTGTTCATCTGCTATCCTATTCTCCGTCTCACAAAAATATACTCTTTAATTCTATAAGAAAAAAATAATTTTTTTTTTTTTCAAAATTTCTTGGACACTGGAGCACCACTTCAGATTTTGGCCTTGGACCCTGAAGGGGTTAAAAAAGCGAATTTGCGGTGTAGTTTCAGATTTTTTTTTATTATTATAAGTTTCTTGGTATCATTTGATAAAATGGAAGATATATTACTGAAATAAAGATGATTTTGATTGGTTTCAGAACTGGAAGTAGTTTTAAATTTAGCTCAAAATAGCGGGAATATTTTATTTTTGCCGATATTTCAGAGTAAATAAATGATGTCACTTGTCCAATATACATCCACCTAGTCGGTCTAATATGCACTTACAAATGCGCTGACATTATTTACACACTGCAATAATGCCTCACAGTAAATCATCTATTTTTTTTTTGTGTTAATAAAAATTCTGTGTGAATATAAGAGTGGCCTGGGAACATAACATATGAGCAGAGAAAATGTTATTTTAGTGCCAGGAATGTCTGCATTGTTTATTCTGAACCCTGTTTTGAAACTGGCATATTTTGAAATTTGTGTAAAATTGGCCAAATTACCAAATTCTGATCACTCTATTGAGTAGTTGAAATAGTTTACTGGGCAATTTCTTGTACTCAGTCAATATAATGGAAGACATACTAGTTAAACAGCTAAGAATTTGATCTACTGGAACAATGTAATTGGCCTAAAATAGGACTCAAATTGGGCAAAATCGCCAGTGTTTAACCCGTAAACGGTCCAAACATATATGTACGTTTTTACCGCTACTGCCTCAAACGTATATTTACTTTTTATTTTTCATTCCTTTAAAATTGGCGCGATAGGCCTGAGTGGCATAGACATGAGAGAATGGATGTGCGCAGTATCAAGAAAATCTGGGACGCCTGGGTACTGCATGGTAGGACCAGTTACATTCAGCTCCATCTTGGGTCAACATCATGGCACATCCTCGTGATTCACTCACGCCTCATTGTATTAACACTATTATATGAGGAAAGTGATATGGAAGGTCAGTTTAGTGGGTTTGACACAGATGTGGCTACTAATAATCAAGGAAATATTGAAAATATAGACGATAACCCAGATGACCCTTAGCCCATCACCTCTGGGGTGGCCAGTGTGGCCACACCAGACCCTAGGCCAAGCACTTCTAGGGTGGCCAGTGTGGCCACACAAGACCCTGGGCCAAGCACCTCTGGAGTGGCGAGTGTTACGCATAGGCAACTACACAAGAGGAAACTATCATTTTCCCGGTGTTTTAGTATTGATAGTGAAAGTGATATAAGTGATGATGAGATTGATTTTATGCCATTAGAGGATTCGTCTAGTGACAGTGACCATTATTCACCAGTGAAGCGTACTTTTAGGCGTCATTACCTACGTTCAGGCAGTGTGCCATTTGCAGTTGGCGGCAAGGGTTGTGGCAGGTCACGATCCAAAACCCCTGCCACTGATAGTGAAAGTGATCATGAAGGTGAACATGCGGGGATGGAGGAAATGGTGGTGGGTGGCACGGTGCCTGGACCACATGGTGCGGTGGGTGGACAGACAAAGGACCGCCCGGCATCCCCTCAACCATGTGCTGCCTCCACTCCTGTCCTCCCTCCTGCTCCCCCACGCCCCATGCCAGAGGTCCACCCTGCACCATGCGACTTAGATTGGAACTGGACACAAAGTATATTCGTGCCACAGCCTTTTGATTTTGATGCAAGTGGAAGAGGCATCCTGCCAGAATGTCCCATAACAAATGAGTCTACAGAGTTAGACTTTTTCCAGTTATACTTTGACGAGCCTATAATGAACTTGATAGTGACCCAGACGAACAATTATTACCACTATATCATGGACAATACACCAGAGATTGGGGAATCGTCACGGCTGCACAGATAGAAAGATACAACAGTGGATGAAATGTATTTATTCCTTGCCACTGTCATGCTTATGCCACATGCATATAAGAACAATATACGTAATTACTGGGCCAGACTACTTTATCAGTACTCCTGTCTTCTGTGACCTCCATCCCTGCAACAGATTCATTCTGTTGCTACGAATGTTGCACTTCTCAGACAGGAATAGGCCCAACAGAAATGACCTTTTATACAAAATCCGGGAAGTGTTTATATGAAGCAGAAATTCAGTGCCTACTTTTATCCCTTCAAGAACATTGTTGTTGACAAGTCCTTGATTCTGTTCAAGGGATGCCTGTCATTCAATCAATATATACCGAGCAAACGTCATCGCTTTGGTATAAAACTTTTTTGTTATATGTGACTGTGAGAGTGATCTTGTGTTGGATGTGATTGTATATACCGGGAAAAACACTCTCGACGATACCAGGCACATGTTGGGCATTTCTGTTGATGTTGTTTGAAAAATGATGAAATGATGGAACCATACCTTGGCAAGGGCCATACATTGTACACAGACAACTGGTATACCAGCCCTATGCTCACTGATTTCCTACGTGTGAACAATACTGATATATGTGGAACAGTGAGAAGGAATAGAAAACATATGCCAAGGTTCAGTGGAGGCAGTATTGAAGGTGCAGTGCAAGCATTTCATGCCAATGACATAATGGCACTGACATTGCATGACAAACGGGATGTGACATTGCTGTCAACCATCCACAGAAATGAGATGGTACAAACAGACAAAGTGAACAGGGAGACCAATGAACGTATTGTCAAGTCAGCTGCTGTTGTTGACTATACAAACAATATGCGTCTCGTTGACAAGTGTGACATGATGATAGGGTTCGTTGACTGTGTGCATAGGAGTCGCAAGTGGTATATAAAACTGTTTTTTCACCTTGTAGACATTGCAGTGCTCAATGCATTCAATATATACGAAATGAAGACTGGAAAACGACAACGTTTTGCAGAATTCTCCCTGAATGTCGTAAAACAGATAGCAAACAAGTATGGTACCACCTGTACCTGCCCCTCAGCAGCGACCTGTCACACCACAACCTGTCCCCTAACCACAACCACAGCCAGTGGGGGAAGTGCCAGGCCAAATCATCCCTAACTGTCACTACTTGGTACCAGTACCACCTACCCTACCCCAAAGAAGAAGCATTCCCAGAAAAAGTGTGTTGTGTGTGCTGCCACCACAAAATGACCCCAACAGCGGAAGGACACACGATACATTTGTCACCAGTGTCGGGTGGCACTCTGTATGAATCCATGCTTCATAGAGTATCATACAGTCGTGGAGTTCTAGAAACATAAGTGGGACATGTTAAATACTTGTATATAGTTGTAGATAATAATGTGTGATTCAGCCAGGTGTGCAAAATTGTGTCAGTGTGTACGTGTGTGACAATATGATCATAATTTTGTATATATTATTGGTGTATAAGCAGCAATTAACATTGAAATCAAAAGAATTATTGTAAAACATAAGAATCATATCATGAAAACCAAGAAAAGTAAAAAAAAAAATGGAAAAAAACGGTAAATATGCAGAGTTTCTGCAAGCGGCAGTGCTCCATGTTGCCGTCAGGTAATCGCCAAGTGCCAACTTCACGGCCTCATATCTCGGTAAGTACTGACCCTAAAGTTTTTTTTTATCCTATAACACTTAGAAAAATGTGCTCTTTTTCTCTATAAAAAAAAAACTATTTTTTTATTTTTCAAAATATTCGGGGCACTGGGGTAGTGAATGCATGTATACGTATGGACCGTTTATAGGTTAAATATCGCCAACACAACAAAATTTGCGAAAGTGTAACATCATCAGTTTTCCATCAAATTTTATACTTTTTATTTTATTACTTTCAGAAAAAGATTCTCTACTATTTCATAAAAAAAATAACAAAAATAACACTTTTTAGATTGGGAGTGTGGACCCTCAAGGGGTTAAATAAAAATAGCAATCACTACAAAACTATATTCCCACCTACTTAACAGTCAAGTTCACATGTTTCTTCTTGACACCATTACTTTCTTTACAGGTCATTGTCAGTGCTATATGATCCTTGTGGGTTTAGTATTTAGTTTTAATTAAAATAATAATACAGGTCTGTGTTAATAACACTGTACAGTGGACCCCCGGTTAACGATGTTTTTTCACTCCAGAAGTATGTTCAGGTGCCAGTACTGACCGAATTTGTTCCCATAAGAAATATTGTGAAGTAGATTAGTCCATTTCAGACCCCCAAACATACACGTACAAACGCACTTACATAAATACACTTACATAATTGGTCGCATTCGGAGGTAATCGTTAAGCGGGGGTCCACTGTATAGGGTACATTAATAAAGTGAATATAAACACTTTATATCCAGGGAAAAATGGGGGACTACATGATGATAGTATGTGAGTGCATGCACAGACAGTAACAAACTGCTGTGGGCTGAATCACACGCCTTGCTGCCCAGGAGCACTGAAAACAGACAGATCCTGGGCAGAGCCCAGACTGGACAGATTTGCGATACAGAGGACTTGGTTTATTTAATTGATGATATGACTAGACAGGACGGCCATGTGATGCATCGGGCCAAATCTACTGCATTGTTAGCTTTGATAAGTAAGACACATGTGTAACAGTTAGGTATCTTTATTCCAAAGTGTTTTGCCTACACAGTAAGCTTCTTCAGTCAAGGTTTGCAGAAGCAATAGAAATGTGAAGACAATATAATCAGTCCATCACTCTTGAAGACAGTTTTGAGGTGGTCAGTCCCTCAATCTGAAGAAGAGCTTTGTTCCATAGTCTGGAACATTGTGAAGTTGAAGCGAAAGTATGGAGACATATACTGTCAGAAGGTGAGATGTAGCCCATTAGTAGAAGAAAGAATGTAATCATTGAGAGGGCAGGTCCCTCTTAAATCCATCCCTTCTCACTTGAAAAAGTTGTCCAAGTTGTTTTCTGTACTACCTCTTTAGTGATGATGGACTGATTACATTGTCTTCACATCTCTAGTGCTTCTGCAAACTCCTCTGTACTCGACTGAAGAAACCTACTGTGTAGGCAAAATATTTCAGAATAAAGATTCCTAACTGTTCCATGTGTTTTACTTATCAACCTGTTGGTATTGTATACTGTTTTCATATTCACATTGCTAGCTTTATTGGACTTCCTCTGCAACAAACATGTCGAGCATTTGTCTGGCCAGATTTTTTATCAATTTTATCTGATATCCATTTTATGGAGGTCTGTTATTGTGGCATTTAGGGATGCATTTTTAAAATTCAACTAATTCATCAGATGCATTTTTAAAGCTCCATTGAATAGTCAGGTGTATTTTCCTTACAGGTAAACAGCTACCTGCGAGAGCAGTTTCACTCTATACATGAACTACTCTGGAGGAGCGGTTATACAAATATTTTTGGGGATATGCCACGCAGGTAAAGTATTTTACTGCATTATCATTTATATAGGTTATATTTGCAGAGAAATGTGCATCTCTTGTGTATGTATGAATAGAGGTGTGTATTTCAGTGTATAAGTGGGAAGTGGTGTGAACCTTCATATAAATAATGAAAAAGATGTTCATCTCTGTATACACTAAGAGGTGTGTATGTCTCAGTGTATATACACTGAAAGTTGTGTATCTCTCAGTTTATTTACACCTAGAGTTTATTCCCTAAGTGACGGGTCTACTGTATTAAAGTATGCTTGACTAGTGATTTACATTTGACTTGTAGATTTAATGCCCTTCTTGTAGTTGCTACACTTGAAACCAAGTAAAACAACCAGTGCCATTTACATATTGTTTCTTCTGTTAATGTATTTTGCACTTGCATACATTGTTAATGTGTTAGTGGAGGTCACTTAACATGGGTGTTAATCATGTCAGAAGTTATGGATTTATGTGTTTTAAAAATTGATTGAAAGACTTGTAAGAGAGCTATATATGTACATGTATATATAGCTTCTCCTCACTTAACGACAAAGTTGCATTCCTAAGACCATGTCGGTAAACAAATTCGTCATTAAGTGAAGAGCATACTACAGTGGTAGTGAGTTTGTGTCAACCATCTTTGATATTGTTTAATGTCACCGTTGCACCATTTATAACATTTTTAGCATATTTTTGAAATTTTTATACAGTAGTGTACTATATATATTGTAATAAACAGAATAGAGGAAATCAGCTCTAATATACATTCTTCAAGTATGCATACTGGTCAGAGAACCTGTCATAAGTCCGAGTCGTCGGTAACCGAGTACGTCGCTAAGTGAGGAGAGGCTGTATATACTATGGGAGCAAGGGGCTAGTAACCCCTTCTGTATACAGTGGACCCCCGCCTTACGATATTATTTTATTCCAGAAGTCTGTTCGGGTGCCGTTACCAACCGAATTTGTTCCCATAAGGAATAATGTGAATTAGATTAGTCCGTTTCAGACCCCCAAAAATACACGTACAAAAGCACCTACTAAAATACACTTACATAATTGGTCGAGTTGGGAGCTGATCGTAAGGCGGGGGTCCACTGTACATTACTAAATTTAAAGAGAAACTTTTGTTTTTCTTTCTGGGCCAGGGGCATTGGTGGGATACCGCCGGTGCATTGAAAAAAAGAAGAATATATACTGTATTTCAGCTTCGGTCAAAGACCTTCCATATATTCCTAGGCTTTAATACATGATCTCCTTTCACCTTTTTCTTTAATTTTCTTTGAAAATGATTCATCTCTTTCATGTATTAACTTGTTTATTACTTTATTAATCCTTTCACTTTCACTCTCTTATGTGCCATATGAATTAGTTACAGGTGTTATACAGTGGAACCTCAGTTTTCATGATTAATTCATTCCAGAAAGTCTGATGAAAACTGAATTGTATGAAAACTGAAGCAATATTCCCTTAAGAAATAATGTAAATCCAATTAATCCATTCCAGACACCCAAAAATATAAACAAAAAATACATTTTATAGAGAATGACTATAGTTTTACATACAGAAAACAATGAGAAATAAGTATAAATGACTAATGAAATGGATAAATGAACATTTAACATCACTTTTTACCTTTACTGAAGACTTTTGTTGGCATATGGAAGACAGCGAGGAAGGGAGGAGGAGGAGAAGAGGTTATTGTTTGGAAGGGGAATCCCCTTCCATAAGGACTTCAGGTATCAAGGCCCTATCCAAGGTTACTTCCCTTCTTTGTCTTTTACTGGCACTAGGACCAGCTTGAGAGTAACTGTTTACAACAGCTTTGTTAGGGTCATATTTTTCCACAAAACTTTGCAACTCACTCCACTTTGCACATATGTCCTTAATCACTGAAGAAGGCACATTCTCTCCTCTCCCTCTCTCCTCCTTGGAAGCAGTTTCCTTAGCTGCAGTCTGTTGCTCTTCCAGTTGAAGGTGTTACAGCTCTTCAGTGGTTAGCTCTTCCCTAAGGTCGTCCACCAACTCCTTTTTTTTTTTTTTTTTAAATTCTATCGTGTTTCTCACCTTCTTTATCAAAGGCTGGCACTCGGTGGCTTATTTAGCAGTCTCACTCAATAAACAAGCACAAAAAATAATGAATCATTACGAAATATTTCTTACGAATATGCAGGGTAATGCTCATTCGACAAGAAACAAAACCAGACTGAGTCAGAATGCGTGGGATGCTTTGTGTGGGCATGGGCAGGGGGACGTGTTTGGTACAACGGACCGCTGTTAACTCAACGAAAACCGAGCGGATGAACGAAAACTGGGATAAAATTTTGACGAAAAAAGTCGTTGAAAACCGAATTCGATGAAAACCAAGGTTCCACTCTACATTTGAATTGAATATGTACACCTACCATCTGACTTATGACCGAGTTCGGTTCCGAGAAACCGGTCATAAGTCGAAATGGACGCAAGTCGAACTTTACTACTGAATATCAACATAACATTTTTGTAATGACTTTATTTTATTGTTTTATTTTGGTATTTCATGTTTTACTTTAATTTTTATGCTGTTAGGACCCCCGCATAGCGACTTTAATCCGTGCAAGAGGGCTGATTGTTATGCGAAATGATCGGTATGCGAATGAATTTTCCCCATAAGAAATAATGGAAATCAAATTAATCTGTGCAAGACACCCAAAAGTATGAAAAAAAATTTTTACCACTTGAAATATACATTTTCCTACACACAAAGAGAAGGATACATGCACAATAGTAGAGTAGTACATGCACAATATATATTGTGCATGTACTACTTTACTAAATGAAGAATAAATGACACTTACCTTTATTGAAGATGCAGCAATGACTGATGAGACACTGTGTCCTGGGAGTGCCTTTTCCTCCTGAGTACTGTAGGTCCTGTTTGGCATTTTCTTCCAGAACAGGCCTTATCACACTGTGTATGCCACTACGATTCTTAAATCTCTCAAACCAACCTTTGCTGGCTTTAAATTCACCAATATGAGCACTAGTTCCAGGCATTTTTCCCTGTTCACCTGGGTGTTAGTCGACTGGTGTGGGTTGCATCCTGGGAGACAAGATTAAGGACCCCAATGGAAATAAGTTAGACAGTCTTCGATGACACTGACTTTTTTGGGTTATCCTGGGTGGCAAATCCTCTGGGGTTAATTGTTTCTTGGTATTCTCAATAAGCCACACCAACAACTGTGCTACAGCAGCAGCAGCAGCAGCTGACAGTGCTACAGCAGCAGCAGACGATGCTACAGCAGCAGCAGCAGCTGACGGTGGTACAACAGCAGCAGCAGCTGACGGTGGTACAGCAGCAGCAGCAGCTGACGGTGCTACAGCAGCAGCAGCAGCTGACAGTGCAGCAGCAGCTGACGGTGGTACAGCAGCAGCAGCAGCTGTACCACCAATAGTAGCGATGGTTGATTGGGGTTTATTATACAACCTGGCCAGCTCGGAGACACGCACTCCACTTTCATACTTATCAATGATCTTTTTCTTCATCTCTATAGTAATTCTCACCCTTATTGCTGTAGGGTTGGCACCAGAAGCTTTCTTGGGGCCCATGGTCACTTATTTTCCAGATAAAATCACCAAAAACAGTGTAATAATACGAAATGTTCTGATTGTATGCTTGGATGTTACCGCGGAGGCTGGCTGGTAAACAATGCCACCGGCGGCACATGTGAGGCTGGCTAAGGGCGCACATTGGACGCATCTCGGACGAAGAGCGGTGAGCGGGTTTTTGAGCGGTATGCGAGGCAAAATTTTTGCGATAAAAGCGAGCGGTATGCGGATTGAACGTTATGCGATGCGTACGGTATGCGGGGGTCCACTGTACTGTATTTTATACTGTAAGGTTTAGGATAAACACTGTGTACAACACAAACACTTGTTTATTTCCCAGAAATTTGGCATAAAAAACACGGTCGTAAGTCGAGTCGTTGTATGTCGAGCAGGTCGTAAGTCGGATGTAAGGTGTATATTGAATTTGTTCTTATTATAATACAGTTGTAATTTGATACAATATGAGGCTCAGCAGAAAGCTGCTAATGATGCAAATGTATTTCAGGCAGTCTAATCATAAGCTTAATGCCACCTGTATCTAGGCCTAGTAAATAAATTTAAGTCAGTACAGATTGGTTAATTCATTACATTCATAACTACAGTGGACCCTCGCATACAGTTGGCATCACATAACGTTAAATCCGCATACCGATACATTTTATCACTAAAATTTTGCCTCGCATACCGCTAAAAAACTTGCTCAACGCTATTCGTCCGAGACGCTTCTAATGTGCGGCCTGAGCCAGCTTCACATGTTCCGCCGCTGGCATTGTTTACAAGCCAGCCTCCGCTGTAACATCCAAGCATACAATCGGAACATTTCGTATTATTACAGAGTTTTTGGTGATTTCATCTGCAAAATAAGTGACCATGGGCCCCAAGAAAGCCTCTAGTGCTAACCCAGTGGTAAAAAGGGTGAGAAATACTATCATACCACAGTCAGCTGCTGCTGCACCATGGTCAGCTGTTGCTTGACCAGTCAGCTGTTGCTGGGTCAGTCAGCTGTTGTTGCACCTCGATCAGCTGTTGCTGGACCAGTCAGCTGCTTCTGCACCACGATCAGCTGTTGTTGGACCAGTCAGCTGTTGCTGAATCAGTCAGCTGCTGCTGCACCGCGATCAGCTGTTGCTGGACCAGTCAGCTGTTGCTGGATCAGTCAGCTGCTGCTGCACCACGATCAGCTGTTGCTGGACCAGTCAACTGTTGCTGGATCAGTTAGCTGCTGCTGCACCACGATCAGCTGCTGCTGGATCAGTCAACTGTTGCTGGATCAGTCAGCTGTTGCTGGACCAGTCAGCTGTTGCTGGACCAGTCAGCTGTTGCTGGACCAGTCAACTGTTGCTGGATCAGTTAGCTGCTGCTGCACCACGATCAGCTGCTGCTGGATCAGTCAACTGCTGCTGGATCAGTCAGCTGTTG